TATCACTCATGCCATGTACATTAACTAAACAGTCTCTTTCGAAGGTTTAGTTTGTCAGCAAAATCAGCCACAAAGTGTCCTGCCAAAGCCTAATACAGAAACCCAGGAAGACGACAACACGTCCCCCACCAAGGTGGCCTGGGAAAGACAAATAAAGCATCTCTGTGCGCTAGGAGACATATTGTGTGATCCACCAGACACACCTCTACGACCCATGAGACGGTCACCTGCGCAGGCCTGCCAACATTGATAAGCATTTCTAGCTCTTCCATGACTGACCTCTACGATCCTCTTTGAAATGGTAAGCAAGACTTATAAGTCGTCCCAAGTGCATCGTGTAACGATCAGATGCCTGCTCCGTCACGATGCGAGGAGGAGATCCGACCACGACTGAACTGTGACTAGGTAGTCTCTACCGCACGCCCTCCGGAAGCACTCAACTCTCTCCTAGCCGAGGCGATCAGAAGAGTCCCTGACTTAAAAAATGCCCGTGAGAGCGCAGTTATGTCCCTGTGGTAAGACGGTGAGTAAACGGCAAGTTTATTGCGCGCCCTGTACGAGAAAAGGAGTAGGAAGAATTCTCTGTCTATGCCTCACGCCCAGGGCAACATACAAGAAAAAATAGCATTAGCCCACCAAATCCCTAAACAGTAACATACGTGGACGGTCAGGTCTGACAGGGTGATTCACAGCTATAGTGCATAATGGAGTGTAGGAGAGACCGGACGAGACAACTGATTAATGCATTAACATCATTTATTTTTTCTCAACATCATGGACCATTCTATAATTTATTCTGACCTGTTTTAGGCACCGCTATAGTGTGGCGTGTTCCACTCTGATTTTGATGGCTCGATGTGGTGGGACTCCCACTTTCGTAAGTCCCTCTATCACCTGTGAGATACCCACGACAGCGTTCTGGGTTTGGCGGGCATACTGCTTTATGCGAATACGGGCCTCCCTGGCTATCATCTGTAAAGACAACAGGAGGGAAAGAGGTGCACAACCCCACGTCCGTGGGTACCTAGGGACCAAACTTCTGCAGGACACCTGTTTCACTATTTCATGAGAATTCATCATGATACGTGCATGTTGTCTACCATGATGTCTGGTCATATGTTCGATGCTCCACTTTCCCCTGTGTCTATCATAAATGCTTTTATCCTGTATGACTTATATTTCAATGCTGTACTGCTACATGAGGGAGTTGGGTGTGTCAGCACCAATCGTCAGCTTTTACCAGTCTCTATACCATTGGGACCTAAAGCTCTAGCCGCGTGACCAGGGTGTACAGCCAAGGTGATGTGTTGGACAAGCAGAGGAAGACATGTAATAACCACTCACACTGTTCAAGAAGCAGCCGTTGTAATGGGCCGCCACACCCACAGGCCCAATATAAAATTGTATTCTGATTCTAATGTCCACCTATCACGTTCAATTTGTTTGAATTGTTCTCTGTACCATAAGTCTTGGTCTCTGTCATTAGAATAATGTCAAGTTGGGCCCAGGGTCCAGTGAGGGAGTGGTCGGAGGCCAAAGAATTTATCCAGGGGTTTCCACTTGACGAAGACGGAAATGCACACCATTAATGTCCGTGGACTTGTTTTCTGGGTCCAGTCTCACCCAGTATATGTCTGCATACTGGTCTGGCATCTCTTCTTCTCAGAAGCCAGCAGAGTCCAGATACACCGGTCACACTCTGAAATTTTTGCCCCCCTGGAAAAGTCACTTGTATCCGGTCCCACATAAAATTTGACGCATGGTTTTTAGTCAATAAGTCTCTTCCCAGCAGTTGACGGTGTTTTAGGAGCATTTACAAAAGAATGCCACAGTGTCTGTGTTCCAATTTGTGTCTTGTGTTAAACGTTTAGTGAGTGGCAGTACCTCAGGAGTCCCAGAAAATCCAACCAGGATGATGTGCTCCTCAGAGAGCACGGAAAGGGCGTATCTTTGTAAATGATGGTAGAGTGGTGGCGCCAGTGTCCACCAGGGCCATCCAGGTTCCAGTCCTCCACCCCTTATGGGAAGCTTCCTCCCCGGCATGTTCATACCGCCCCGCCCATGCTGGACCACTCTCGGGGCCAGGTTGTCATTCGGAGGCCCCTCCCGCTCTGTCCCATGTCCTGGGGGCCCCTCCCACGCACCATGGCGCTGGTAGTGGGGCCTCTCCTTCAAAGGGGCAGTCCCTCCCCAGTGACAGAGGTGACATATTAGTCTTCTGGCCCCACGCCCACCACCTTACCAGTCCTGGTTCCATTTTTTTATTTTGGGTGGCTTTATTTCTCGCTTCACTAAGCTGTAACTTCAAAAGTTGACAAGTCATATCTTCAACACTCTTTCTTTCTTTAGTTTTATTTTCAACATATCGCTTAATGTGAAAGATTAAATTTGTTTTCCACTGTGCTGAATCCGGGTTAATATTATCTGGGTTGTCTTCAATCTTTGAGCGTATTGTTTCTGGTAAACCATTCAAAATAGCTGCTCTAAAAGGCATGACTTCACTGACCTTGTGAGGGTGTCTTCCTACTGTGTCCATCCACTTGGTCACACTCCTGTCATAAAATACAATTGGGTCCTCAGACTCCAGCCAAGTTAACTCACGAGGGGCAGAAGACAGCGGAGTTGGAAAGTTTTCCCTCAGTGCTTCATACCAGGCATTTGCATACTGGCCAAATCTGGAAGAATCACAAACATCAGCAGTACCAGCTTGTCTTTCAATAGCGTCTCTCTCCCATGGTTTACTGCATGCTGCCATCACTGCCCGGACGTCACCCATCGCGACATCATGACCTGTAAACCATGTGTTGAGACTGGAAATCCAGTTTCCAGCTCCCTGACACAATGGAGGCATTTTGTCTTTTATAGTCTGCATGTCACTTACAGAAAAAGGATGGTACTCCCCAGCTGCGCCTCGTCCTGGTCTCAGAGGGAACATGGATTTTGTCTGAGACCTGGTTCTGCTTGCCACCGGTCTAGTTTCTCCAGGCTCCCGGTCTCCGTCATCACTACTATCGTCAGAAGAGAATTTAGCTCCTTTTCTAGCCTGTTTAGCTTTAAGTATTGGCTGGGCCATGGCACCGTCTCCCTTTTCATTTTCACTGTCCGTCCTAGTCATGGCTCTGCGTGCGGCTTTATTAATTAATTTTGCATTCTCCTGTCTAGCGGTCTCGTAATCATGGGGTTTCTTCTCCCTCAACTCTGTCTGTGGTGCATTCAGAGGTCGGTTTCCTAGCTCTAATATTTCTGAGAGAGTGCAGGAGCAGCTCCTGCACCTCTTGGATGGGTGGGGGTTGGTGAGGGGTGTGTGGGAGCTGTGGCGGGAGGCTGACAGCTGGATTTTGACTCGGATCTCTATTGTCCCCCACAGACTCCTGTTCTGTCCCTTCGTCAAATTCACTGTCTACAAAGTCATTGTCCCCTCTCTTTCCTACCGCCACTTCTCCTGAAAATGTATATTGTGGCAATATTAGATTTGGCTTACCTGGTTCTAAACCTAGAGAGTACTTTGGTGGAGCCGTGGGTAGGGATGGGTATATATTACTCACCGGCATTGCTCCGTTTTCTGTTTCCTTGTCTTTACTTACCATCGGTAATTTTGCCAACGCCGTGGCAGCCAAAGCAAAATTATGTACCTTGGTCCTCAGTTTCTCAGCCTTTTTTAGTTCCTTCTTAATTTTCCTACACTCATTCCAACTCTTTCCCTGCTTTCCCTCAAGCTCTTTTAAATCCTGTTTTAGATTATTTTCCTCTTCCCGCAATATCCTAGCTAATGCGGACGCTGTCATATACTCAGGTATGACCCTTTTGTTCTGTATTTTTTCCCATGCTTTCACAGCCTTTCGTTTTGCCTTGTTCCTATATTTTTTATCCAGACCACTCAGAATCTGAGCCTCTATTTCTCTATATAGCTGCTCGATTGGAATGCCTGTCTCCATTTTTCGGGGGGGCCCAAAATTCCCCCAGGTTCCAATGGTGAAAACCTAACTTGTGTGTTGACGCGTCCGTCAACCACGCTAGTCACAGCGGGCTTTCCTGTTTCTGGCAAGGCTTCTCAAAAAATCTTTACTTTTAATGTATTCTCGCAGGGTTCTAGCTACTTAGACTCCTATTTTATTTAATTTTAACGTATTTTCGCAAGGCTCTCACTACTTTTTAGGCTTTTACTATTTTTACTTTTTGAATTAGCTCCTCCGTGGACAAAACTCCTCTCCCCTTAATTTGTGTAGTCCAATATGCAGATTTTTAATTAGTCAAAAGGTATCTGCTTACCTTCAAATCAGCGGCCGCTTTGAGGAGAGATGCAGAGTCCAAGGGAGAGGTTGAAAGTCATCAAAGGGATCACGTCGGGGTCACCAATTATTATATTAAAAAATGACGTGTTCAAAATCCCTTATAAAGATGACCATGATTCAGAAAGTTAAATTCAAAAAGGTTTATTTCCCTAATACAAAAAGAATCTAAAACAGCTGTTCGGACCAAAAGTAACTATCCCTTATTCTCTATATAAAATATAAAAGTATGACTTTGGTGGGCGCTCCACGCAAGTCACACTCCTGTCCCTGGTCCGGTCTAGACTAACACAAGCATGAGGTTATTATAAGTAAATGTGCATGAAGAAGGGGGCGTGTCGTATCAGGCAGATCTCTGGTCCAAGGTCCGGCCTTTTCCTCCGTCTCGCCAAACCTGAACAGAAATCATTCACGCACTACCCCTCCCTAATTCTATAGATTTATTAGTTCCTTTGAGATAAGGCAGAGGGATCTCAAGGCTTCTCCTCCAGATTCTGGACTCCATCTCCTTCTTTCACAACTTGAAAGGATTAGCAGAATCCCCCCAGATTAACTATCATTAACTCACCCATGCACTTTGGACAAAATGGGACAGGGGAGTAGGGCAATACAAGGTCTTTCTTTTTGCTTGGAGACAGACAGAGTTCAATTTCAGGTCAATCTAATTCACATCGCCTTTTAGCTTATATTTAATACAACATTACCCAAATGTCACTTGGTAAGGTCGTCAACAAGTCTGCCAACCAGATCAAGCATCTTGTCCATTTGTTGCTGGAAGTGGTTCAGCCAGGCTGTGTCACGGGCATTTTCTTCCTCCTGCCTCTTCTCCATGTTGTTGCACGATTCTCTAACCGCCTCTGTTGCACTCCCATCACACTTGCGTTTTTTCCCTGGCATCTGCAGAGGAATTCCTGGGGAACTTTCTGCTGAGCTACCCTCTGAGCTGTGTGTTCCTGCAGCTGACCCAGATGCTGTTCCCTCTTCATCTGCAGTCTTTCTGAGGTTCAACACTGCACCGCTTGGACCTGAGGAGTAGAGGCTGACTGGTCTGACCGACGGCCTTTGGCCAATTGCCTCATGCATGGGAACGAAGAATGTCCAGTTTGCCGCATTTACTTCACCCTGGTCCGTCCCTGACCCAGTTTTGGGAAGGGAAAAGTCCTTAATAATAATAATACATGCAAATAAGAAAGTTAAAATGAAATGTACATACTACTAGATCACAGATGCAAATGCACTTTACTCTGTCGATCAAATTACCTTGTATTTTTTCTTCAGGTTCTCCCATTTGTTTTTGCATTGTTGAGGCGATACCCTCCCCTCAAAGTCCATTGTTTTGATTATTTCACTGCAAGAGTTTATGAGATATACATCAAAAATGTTATTGTTTAATATATACTACTACATGCTTTATTTACAGCTGTACACTTACTCATAACCTTGAGTTGACCGGCTGGTTCCGCGCTGTCGAGTCCCAACCTCCCGTCGCGGCCCCGGTGCACGCCCCCGCCGTCTGCTCCCGCCGCTGCGCCTCCCAGCGGCTCCCCGGACATCGGCTTCTCCCTCTCCACTGCTGTTGCTGCTGCATCACCGGGTAGGCCCTTCATAAATGCCTACTCCAACGCCTCCCCGCGCCTGCGGTCCAAGATCCTGCTGGGGCGCTACGTTAATTTGGTTTCCCTCATCCTCCCCTCCCCCGAGTGTGACAGGCAGGTGGCGGCCTCTTCCCTGGTCACCGCGGTCGTGAAGACTGCTGATCCCCGCCTGTCGCGCGAGTTGACCATTGGGGAGTTTCTCGTGGCCTTGTGGCGTGTACCCCGACGTCTTGTGCTCCGTTTACCCCGAGCGCAGGCCCGAGCTGGACGCCTATCTGAGCCTGATGGGGGACCTGGCCCTCAGATACGGCGGTAGAATTTTCTACCGCTACCACCGGGCCTTTGCCGCCAAGGCTGGCCCTCGTCTCCCAGGCAAATGTCAGCGGACTGGGCGGTTTTGGATACGGAGGTCTTGCTGCTGTCTGTTGGCGGTACCCCCGCGGTCTCCTGCTCCCGGTGCGGCGCTGCCAGGCACAGCTCTCCCCTCTGCCCCTCCGTCCCATTCGACCCCGTCGTTGGTCAGGCTTCTCGGCCCCGCGCGTCTCCGGTCCCCAAGGAGGAGGTATCTGATCAAACCCCTGTGTGCCGTATGTTCAACATAAGCGTGTGCCGTTATCCATCTTGCGCTTACCTTCAAGTCTGTGGTCTGTGCAGGGAGGCCCATCCCCGTTCCGCGTGCCGGCGTCGCCCCCAGCAGAGCCGGCGTTCCGGGGGGCCTTCGTCCAGGCCCTGATCACGGCCCACCTCTCAACCCCAGTCTCCGTTCCCGCGCTGGCCCGCTCCATCCTGACCGGACTTTCGTTAATTTCCTGCTGACGGGCCTGGCCCGGGGTTTCCCTCGGCGTCCTACGTGTCCCGCAACCTGCAGTCCGCTCTCCGCGAGCCCCTCGTGGTCACGCAGCTCCTCGCACGGGAGGTGTCCAAGGGCTAAGTCATCGGCGCCTTCTCCAGGTCCCCCTTCTCCCCGTTTCGCTCCAGCCCGCTGGGCGTTGCCACACGCAAATATTCCGTGAAGAAGCGTCTTATTTTGATTTGTCCCACCCCCGCTCCGGGCCCACTCCGAGTATTAATAGTCTCATCCCTCTTGAGCCCTTCTCCCTGCAGTACGCCACCGTGGACAACGCAATCCGGCTGGTGAAGGCCTTCGGCCCTGGTTCCTGGCTGTCGAAGGCGGATATTACGGACGCCTTCAAGCTGCTGCCCATTCACCCCAATCACTGGCACCTGTTTGGGGTCAAGTGGCGCTCCAGTTTTTATTTTGCTGCGCGCCTCACGTTCGGCTGCAGGAGCAGTCCCTCCTTATTTAACAATCTCTCGGAGGCCTTGTGTTGGATCCATGTCCGGCTCCCCTCTGTCTTACAACTCCTGGCTGATTTTCTCCTCGTCGATCCACCCGCAGACGGCTCCGGGGACTCGCTCCGCAGGCTAAAATCGGCCTTCTTGCCCCTCGGGGTCCCTCTGTCCGAGGAGAAGACTGAAGATCCAGCCACCGCCCTGGAGTTTCTCGGTATCCGCTTCGACACGCGCGCTAAGGATGCCTCCCTCCCGTTGGAGAAGCTCCAGCGCGCGCGTGCCGTGTCGCAGTCTGCCCTGTCCTCTCCCTCCATCATGAAGCGCGAGCTGCTCTCCCTGCTCGGGCACCTCAATTATGCCATCCGCATCGTTCCCGAGGGCCGCTCTTTCATTTCACGTCTTCTCATCCTCGCGGGTTCGGTCCCCTCCCTGCACGACGCGGTCACCCTGGACGACGGGTGCCCCTCTGACCTGGACTTCTGGTCTCGCCTGCTGGAACGGCATTTCGTTCTTTTACGACGACATCGTCCGGTCCTCCGACGATCTCCGCTTCTACACGGACGCTGCCCCTTTCCGTGTTTGTTTTTTGTTTTTTTTCAGGACCAGTGGTTCGCCGGGCCGTGGCCCGCTACTTTCCCCCGGGGCATCTCATCTCATTCATAGTTCACTGCTTGGACAATCTCCATTACAAAATAACTTACATCCGTACACTGCTCTCTGGGATTCAGTTTCAGGCCCGCTGTCATAACCCCGCCTTCTCCTCTCTATTCTCCGAGCCGTCAATCAAACTCCTCATCAAAGGCATCCATAACTGCACTCCCCACTCTTCTGATCACAGGCTCCCTATCACGCTGCCCATCCTGGAGCAGCTCTGCGCCGCATTGAACTCCGGCTCTTTTTCCATGTACGCATCTGCCCTCCCTCGCAGCGCTATCCTGCTCGCCTACGACTTTCTCTGCATAAGCGAGTTCACCACTGCTCACTCGACTTTTAAAGCGGCCCGAGACACTGCTTTTTCCGATCTGTCCTACTACCCTGACTATTTCAACCTTCATCTCAAACATTCAAAGATTAAAGGCGCCTGCAACAAAATAATAGCTCGCTCCGACACATCCCTCTGCCCCTACAGGTCCATGATGCGTTACACTCGCCTCCGCTGTCAAAAAGGAGATTTTAACGGACCTTTATTTCTCACTCCAGACAACCTTCCCATGACAGCAACCTGGTTCAGAGCTCAGCTAAGATCCCTACTGCTCCTCTGTAATTTGTCTCCCCAGCTCTACACAGCCCACTCCTTCAAGATAGGCGCTGCCACGCGCGCGGCCTCGCTGGGGCTTCCCCACACCTCTCTGCAACAGCTGGGGCGCTGGTCCTCGTCGGCTCTCTCCGCCTACATCAGGCCAGATGCAACTGCCATCATTGCAGCACAGCGACTACTGGCATCCTCATAAGCTCCCAATAAGCAAGCATAAGCATAATGGTGCTTTCAGACCGGGACAGTCGTTGTGTCTGCGTTCAATGCAAAGTCAATGGGGAGGCGCGTTTCAGCGTCGCATTGCACGGACCTCTCGGCACACACGCACGGACCGCCCAGTAGAAACGCACGGACTTGGCGGGAAAGTCAAAGGGGAGGAGAAGGAGCGGAAAATGAACGCCCACAGGAGATGGATTCCGCTCAACTTTTCCTCGAGACGTTCGTGCAGCGACCAATCAGAGAGCACGCACACCACTGACGTTATCACGCCACTACACGCCGTATGTTTTCCCCATTGAGAGCCAGGAACCGGTCATTTAAACATGGAGGATCAAGCTCTGGATAGTCTCATTGTCGCTGTTACAAACTTTCCAGAGTTGTGGAAAGTCTGCATTCCGGAATATAGCGACAGAGCAAAGAAAGATTCGGCATGGAAGGCCATTGCGCAGCAGCTCACCCTCCCTGGTAAGTTTTTTGAGTATCATTCATTCGTAAATTGGTTCTTGTTTATGCTAGTTTTTCGAGGGGAAATTATGACTAGTATCTGATTCTTTGCAGTCGAATTTTGCAAGAAGCGATGGCGGTCACTACGTGACACTTATATGAAAAGAAAAAAAGACGTACAGAGGAGTGGCTCTGCAGTGGGGACCGCAAAGTGGAGGTACGCAAGTGCCCTTTTGTTCCTCGACCCTTCCATTACCCCGCGCCCCACCACCAGCAATATGGCGGGTAGGGTGGAGGAAGGACCCGCTGTCGAAGAGGCCTCTGCGCGACCTGAAGGTTTGTACTGGGTTGAAATGGGGACATTTGAGTATATGTAATTTATATCACGTCATGCTATACAATGGCCATATCTGCAATGGTATTGCTTTCTGTAATTCAAGTTTTTATAGAAGCTTTTCTTCTCTATATATTACATTATATACATTGTATACTTTCAGACAACTGCTATGTTTACTAAAATGACAATGCATTTACAGAAGACATGAGGGTGTCATCTCCTGCGTCGGGGACATCCAACGCCACGATCCCTGCCTCTCCCTACCACCCAAGGCTTCTGTTCCCCCAGGAAACGCCTCCAGGTTAGCATCACATATCATATACTCGGTGACCTACGTCACGTCTGCGACCAGTTATATCTCTTGTCCGTAGTGTGTAATTTCTAAAGATGTATTTCCTCCTGTTCAACAGAGCCAAAACGGAAGAGGAGCAAGAAGGCCGATCCTCAAATATTGCCGTATGAGAGAGAGCTGCTCTCTGCACTCCAGCAGAACTCTCGGGGCTCACCACAGAAATCAGAGGATCAGCTGTTTGCGGACAGTCTGGTCCCTCTATTGGGGAAATTGGAGCCCCATGTCCGTTACAGAATCAAACGGAGGTTTTCTAACATCTAACATCTACAAGGAACTTGCTGAAAAGGAAAATGCGCCACCATCCAATGTGCAGGGATAGCCATGTGACCATGCAATTGTATATATGTAAATAAAAGTGTTGTGTGAATTGTGTTGTGTGAATCTCTTGTGTCTATTTAGATACATTTCTTAGGTTCTTTTTAATCTTGTCATTAAGAGGCGTAGTTGTAGAAGAACCATACATTACAGAATAAATGAGCAGAAAATTTACTTTGGCCCCTCCTTTACAGCATATATATTGGCATATTGACATCAAACATATTGACATTGTAGAATTCTCCACAGCTCTGAGAATGTATAAGGCGAGTA